AGTCGGGACTGAGCACTGTCCCTTCTGAAAACCTGACACCATGTGTGTGAATTTTCATAAAATGCAGCAGAATTTGGTAGCAGTTTGTTTGCTTCACAGTGTCCTCAAGAGGTTTGTTTTTCAATACTGATTCTTATTTTGCATGCTAGAATAATTACAATTATTTAGCTATTATTCCAATTTGATCATTAAAATGAGAACCAAACAATCACCACTTCTGCAGAAAACCTACTTAGGGTCTATTTTAGGAAATAGACTCGTTCACCCAGAATGGAAATATTTTATATTTATGTCCTATCTATTGAGAGTTTGACAACTTCTCATAGGGCATTTCATCTCTATGGGGCTTTAGGGTTTTTCTTTGTTCAGGGTTTTATGTATGTGTGTCTTCAAATACCAATTGCAGTTTAGGTTTAGGAACCAGATTGCTAAATTGAGAACATGATCAAATGAAATGTGAAGCATCAGCAACCCTCATGTTTTAATAAATCTGTCACCAGCAAAAAGAATTGATCAGCAAAAACCAAATGACTTGGAGCAGAATCTAGAATATTCGTTTTAAGTAGCACTAGAAAAAAGGTTGGTGTAATGTATATATCAAGCTAAAACATATGTAAGCACAAGTTTTCAATCTGTTTATTTCTTATGGGTGCATCATAATATTTTTCCTAGAAAATAATTTTTATAAAATATGAAAACTCATTAAATATAATATGTTGAAATCTTTCTTCAAGCACCATATGATTTCACTCACATGTGGAACCTAATGAACAAAGTAAACTAACAAACAAAATAGAAACAGACCCATAGACACAGAGAACAGACTGACAGCTGTCAGAGGGCCCGGGAGTCAGGGGGCTGGTGAGAAAGGTGAAGGGATTAAGTAAAAAAAAATAAATAAATAAGAAAACACCTCCTGGTCACAGGCAGCAGTGTGGTGACTACCAGAGGGGAGGGGTGGGGAGGGTAGAAGAGGGTGAAGGGGGGATAAATGCAGATGGAAGGAGCCTTGACTTGGGGTGGGGAACACACGATACAATATACAGATAATGTATAGGGTTTCCCCCCAAAATGTATACACACATTTTGAATAATTATAAAGGCAATGTTTATTAAAATATATTTCATTTTCAAAATTGAGCTATCAGCTGTTAAAGTGCATACATTTTGGGGGGGACACTCTGTATTATAGAATTGTATACCTGAAACCTATATAATTACATTAAACAATGTCACCCCAATAAATGCAATAAAAATTAAGCCCTGGCCGGGTAGCTCAGTTGGTTGGAGCATCGTCCCGATATGCCAAGGTTGTAGGTTCAATCCCCAGTCAGGGGTCAGGGCACATACAAGAAGCAACCAATAAATGCATAAATAAGTAGAACCACAAATTGATATTATGCTCTCTCTCTCTCTCTCTCTCTCTTCAAATTAAAAATTAAAAGAAGAATAACTCTCAAGAAATAGTTGTTGAATCCATTTTTAGTCAAATCATCATTAGAAGTTCCCATTAAACCTCCACATCTCCCCCCACTGGCTTGCTAATGTTTCTATAATGTTTATTATTCAACTGCTCGTAAAATTCTATGAGCTAGAACATGAAGTTCTGGCCGTACTATTTTACATAAAAACCACTAACATGATGCTCCACTTTGAATTTAAACCTCAACACTCGTGTTAGCGTTTGCTTCCACTTTGTAAGATCCCTGTCTTCATTCGCCTCGTTCAGTTACGCCCCGGTTTTCACTGCATCTCGTCAGATGCTGTCCCTCTTGGCGAGCTCAGTCCCATTACACCAGCGGCAGCAGCGGTTCTAAAGGACGTTACCGGTTGGCCTCGAATTCCTGGAAGCCCAGTGCTGCCCTGAGGTCCTTGGGATCCGGGGGGCCCTGCCAGTCCAGGAGGCCCAGAGGGGCCTGCAGAACCCTGTCAGAGTGAGAGAGACCCCGTGAGCAGAGACCGGAGGAGCCTCTGCCAATGGCCAAAGCCCCGTGTCCACTTGACCTTCACGCAGCGGAAATGCAGGTGCTCACCGTCGGGCCTTTGGCGCCAGGAGTACCGTCCGTCCCCACTGCGCCCTGAAAGGTACAGGAAAAGTCTATCACACGAGCAGCCATGTCTAGGGGGCCCTCTCAGACGTCTACCATCTCCCAAAAGGGAGGCCATAAGTTACCACCCAAAACTCAACGACCACCACAGCATAAAAGTAACTCTGATGACGTTTTCCATCACATAGACGCAGCTGGCGTCACCAGGGAACTTGATCTTCTCCTGAGCTGCAAGCACGTGGGTCGGCAGCCAAGCAGGATGTGTGGCAGGGCCTGGCACTTACCGGGAGGCCCTGTGAGCCCACAGGCCCCGGCGGCCCCGTCTCGCCTCTCTGCCCCTGCGGGCCTTCAGGGCCTCGGGCCCCGGTGGGACCTGCTTCTCCCTAAAGGGGAGCAAAGAGAAACGTCCATTTTAGGAGAATGTCAGCACGGGATGATTCCAAGTAGATCGCATCCTTGAGTTTCACATTTTACACCCAGATCTAAGGGGGCCGAGAGCACAGCTCCCTGCAGGGCTGGGCCTGACCTGGGCGTGGCTGCCTGCCCCCCCACCCCCACCCCACTTGGGGCAGGATGTGGCCGAGCTAAGGGCAGCCTGGGAGCTGCCTATTCCAACCTGAGGGTGCGGCCCCGAGAGGACACCAATGCAGGGCGTGCAGTTAAGCTTTCACTCAGATAAACAGCAACTAATTTTAGTGTAAGTTTGTCCCATGAAATATTTGGGACATATTTGTACTAACATTTATACTTCCTTGAACTGAAATTCAAACTTAACTAGGTTTCTGTATTTTACCCGCCATGTTCTGTACCTAGGTATACCTAATCCTGACATTCCAGAACTAAAACCTGAAGCTTTAGGGAGCTCATGAGAACCAAGAAACCACATTAACTCCCTGCTCAATCCCTGTCGCCCTTCACAGAGATGCAAAGAACTGAGGTGGAGTGTGTTCTTCAGCCGAGAGCCAGGGCCATGGGAGGCCCTCAGAGGCACAGAGAGTCCTGACCAGGCACACAAACCCGGGTCTCACGGGGATGCTGGTAGGACAGGGGACAGTTTTGCTGGGTGTCGGACTTCACCAGGCAGCTCTCAGGAGCCACAGGCAGTGCTGGCAGCACCGGAGGTGGGGGCCCCGTGAGCTGGGTGACATGTGGCTGCCCCCCCCCTCTGTGGAGCCCAGTCCTGGGCACCCTGAGATTCTTCCCTTAACCCTCAGCCGGGCTCCTGCGAGGGTCTCACGGGAAGGGCAGGGGACTGAGGGCAGGCCCTGAGATTCTTCCCTTAACCCCCAGCCAGGCTCCTGCGAGGGCGAGGGTCTCACGGGAAGGGCAGGGGACTGAGGGCAGGATTAGGACTTCAGGGAGCAGAACAGATATGGGGAACAGAAGGTCCCACCTGCCTGCACTCAGAGCGAGCTGTCAGTGAAGAAGGGACGGGAGAGAAAGGCCCAGGGCAGCTCTGGAGAGCAGCCGACCCCGACCCCGAGCCCGGGGCAGAGGTTACAGGTGGCAGGAAAGGCTTGAGAACAACTAGACTGGATGCCGCTCACGCTTCAGGGGGTGTCTGACGGGTCAGTGTGGACTGAGTGTGTGTTCGTTTTTGAAGCTCATGTCCAATTCGAGTAGAACGACTAACAAGAAGCAGAGATGAACCGAAGAACGAACATGCATAAGCCACGGACACAGACAGTCGTGTGGTGAAGGCCTGGGGGCGGGCAGGTGTGAGTGGAGGGGTCAGTGAGAACAAAGGGGGACATGTGTAACACTTTCAACAATAAAGACAGTTTCTGAAAAGAAGCAGGGACCTCTCTGAGGGCCTGATCTAAGCGTGTGCACAGATTATCCCACCTGCTCGCCAACAGCTTCCAGGAGGAGCCAGGCTCAGAGAAGCCGCGGCCATTTCTGCGCAGCAGGATCCCGTGAGCAAACGCCCCCTCCGAGAGGGAGACAGCGCTGCCAAGGGTGCGAGGGACGCAGACGCGCTGCGGAGCATGTGGAGGGGGTGATACAGATGTGCTCACGGACTCAGCTAACACAGGCTCACACGCTCCTGCTGCACCCTTGAGTTTACTACCCAGAGTGTTGGGGGAAACAAACTGTGATCCTCTACAGAGGTAAGAGGCCCCAGCAGAATGCTTCAATCCGTTCCCGGGGCGTGCCAAACAGCCTCTCAGTCCATCCCTTTAGTGGTCAGGAGGGAGAGGCAGGAGGCGGGGGAGGTGAGGGATGCGGGAGGTGAGGGGTGAGGGGGGGGGAATGAGAGCCCGCATCCTGTGAGAGAACAGCCTGGACGGCCTGACTCACTGCAGACTCTATTGTTTAGAACATGCTGCTGCTTATTGCCGCCAGGCCCCGTAGCCAAGAGCAGAGCTCCAACTCAGACTCAACTGTTGCCCTTGCAGCTGCCACAGGGTCTGCGTCAGGGTCTGCGGCAGCAGGTTCTCTGACAGTTGTGTGATTATAAGTTACTCTTTTTTGATTACATATTGTTTAGTAATCTCATTTTTACATTTTCTTTATTTTTTCCCTACCGTATGGACACAGAGAATACTCTCCAGTGGTTCTCAACCTTCCTAATGCCGCGACCCTTTAAATACAGTTCCTCATGTTGTGGTGACCCCCAACCATAAAATTATTTTCGTTGCTACTTCATAACTGTAATGTTGCTCCTGTTATGAATCGTCATGTAAATATCTGATATGCAGGATGGATTTTCATTGTTCTCGACCCACAGGTTGAGAACCGCTGCGTCTAGACTCTTTCCTTAGTTGAGAGCAACCTCCTTGCTCTTCGGTAAATGAAATGACATTCTTCACTTTGGGATTCATGTAATTAAGAGCTAAATATATTAACGCTTTACCTTCATCCCAGGATTTCCTGGAAAACCAGAAGAGCCAGGTATCCCGAGAGGACCCTGTTAACAGAAACCAGGAAAGTGACCGGACATGTATCTTAATCAACATCTAAATAAGTCATCATTTAGTCTTTCACAGAATTCTGTACTTTGACACATAATATAAGAATAATCCACTTAATACTTTGATATCACAAAAATAATAGTGTTTTTTAATATAAGTACCTGCCAACACTGACATGAACTAGTGTCAAATCCTATTATGTCTAATACTCATGTCCACGGGTGTTACACATAATAGGATCTCCTAGTCGCAGCATAGCAGATTGAGTCAGTCACAACCACAAATTGTTGAAAACAGTTGCTTGAGAAATGTATTTTGCCCAGATGGTGTGGCCCAGTGGTTGAGCATCAACCTATGAACCAGGTGGTCATGGTTAGATTCCTGGTCAGAGCACATGCCCAGGTTGTGGACTGGATTCCCAGTCCAGTGGGGGGGGGGGGGGGGGGGGGGGGGCGGGCAGTGGCAGGAGGCAGCCAATCAATGATTCTTTCTCATGATTGATGTTTCTCTCTCTCCCTTCTCCCTTCCTCTGTGAAATAATAATAATAATGATAATAATATAAAAAAGAAATGTGTGTTAACCAATTAATAAAGATACTTTTTCAAAAGTTATGTTTTGTACCAAAATCTAGGACTGTCTTTATGAAATGATGCTTAAGAATCCTCTGGATTCTCTAGAGCAGTGGTTCTCAACCTTCCTAATGCTGCAACCCTTTAATACAGTTCCTCATGTTGTGGTGACCCCCAACCATAAAATTATTTTCGTTGCTACTTCATAACTATAATGTTGCTACTGTTATGAATCGTCATGTAAATATCTGATATGCAGGATGTATTTTCATTGTTACACATTGAACATAATTAAAGCATAGTGATTAATCACAAAAACAATATTAAATGATATATGTGTTTTATGATGGTCTTAGGCGACCCCTGTGAAAGGGTCGTTCGAGCCCCAAAGGGGTCGCGACCCACAGGTTGAGAACCGCTGCTCTAGAGTGAGTATTTTCAGGCTAATAAGAAGCGGATATCTGTCACTACCCCACACCTGGGAAGGGTGCATAGAGTTTAAACCAATGACTTAAAGGCTGGATTGAAAGCATCTAGCATAGGAGGAATTCCATTCTAGGCTATCTTGGTTCTTCTTTTAAGAACCATTAGCTTTTAATCCCACCAGTTTTGTGTTTTAAAAAACCCTTTTTAACTATAGTCATTTTGTTGCCTTTTTATGAGTAACAAGGAAGAAAAGACCCTAAAGGCAAATAATTTCAAATCTGATTTGCCCTCTGAGCATTTCCTGAGCTCGCCATGGTCTCCATCCACCCATCGATGGGCCATGCTGTGTTCTTGCTCATTTACATATTCCTCTGCCAAGACTTAGCTTGGGAGTCGTTCCTCTTTAAGTTCCTTGGCATCTTTCTCCAGCTTCAGGTGTAGGTATTTTCTCCTCAGCGTCCCCAAACCTCAAGTCATAGTCTACGTTACAGCAGTTAGCAATGGCCGTACGCTACTATATTAGCGTCTCTCTCCCTTGGTAGACAAGTCCGCTTTCAAGGACAAGTACTGTGTGTTTATCATCTTTTATTCCAAGTGACTGGGCACAGTAGGCGCTCTGTAACGTTAGTGAGTGTGAAAGTAGAAAAATGCATGAGTGAATATGAAAATAATAAAACTCACCATCGGCCCGGGTTTTCCTGGCATACCATGTGCACCTCGTTGTCCCTAATCAGGAGAAAAAGAGACAAGATTCACTCTATTTGCCCATGATTCATTTGCTTTATAAAAATTTCCATGTTACAAATTAAAGAATAAATATTAACTAACAACAAACTTAACTGAGTTAACAGAAATAAAAACACACATTTACACAACACTGGTAAAGTAGAAATAAACCCATCTATCCTTATAGCAATGAGAAAGAGGTGATTGAAAGGAAAGAAACTGATGAAATCATTCTTTTTACTTGAATGTGTCACCATCTCTCAAATTAGATCAAAGACAGTGGAATTTTGAACATCTCTTTACAGGCATATTAACGCAGAGGAGGGACGCACTCCTTGTAAAAATAAAAATAAAATAAAATGAATGGCACGCACACACCAGGAGATTAAGTAGCAGTGAACGCTGTGGGTGGCCCCAGGTCCCTCTCTGCTGCTGGAAGCGGTGAGCTGAGGGCTCACAGTGGTCCCCCGGGCTGCCCTCAGCGAGGAGAGGTTAGCTCTCCCAGGGCTGTGCCCCTCCCGTGCCCAGCACCGGGTACAGAGCGACCCACCCAAGGGCGAGGAGCCCTCCCCGCTGCATAGCTCCCATGACCGAGGACTCGCGGAGCCAGGTTCCTGCAGTTGAAACACCAGTTACTTTCTCCCTCTGACAAACCCTGGTTCTTTTACTCCTTCTCCACAATGTAGCATCTGAAAGCGGCCCCAGGATTTCCTGCACACAGTCTGCTATGATGCTAGTTTCTGGGAAACCAGACCTAAGACTTCCATAGCACTGGTGCCAGAAGGAGCCTGAGGAGGTAGACTCTCAGATGGGATTTGGGACTCCTCACTGACCACGTGGCGGTAGAGAGAGCGTAGAGCGTGGGCCCCCCGCCCCCCCGCTGTGGTGATGCAGTAGGATCCTCTCCAGGCATGCACTGCGTGGGCCGCCCGGGCACAGGAATGGGCTGTGGGTGCAGCAGCTCAGGCATGTGACAAGTTTTGGGGGGAAGAGCGATTACAAGTTGATGGCACTGCATGGGTCTCACTGAGTGAATCCAGCAAGTGGAAGGCTGATGGCGATTAATCAATATGAGGCTCTTTGGCAGCATTTAAAAATATTGCCATCTTCTACAGCCAGGGTGGGGGAGCTGAAGCTCAAACCCATGACGTAATGATAGAGGTCTGAAAGCTCTTGAGGAGGTTTAATTCTAAACATGCTTCGGCTCCTAGGCCATGATCGGAGGCCTGGACTGGAAGGCATGGGGCTTGGCTTGGGCATGGGAACATCTGAGGAGCTTCTCGGTCTCAGCACCTGGCAGCCCATGGGCCTGCAGACTGGCCCGTCCCTGCTTCTAACCGCGCATGCTTCCTCCTTGCTCACAGGAGCCTCTGCTCTCCCCGACAGCGCATGCCGCCGCCGCCGCCACCTGCCTCGCCCTCCAGCCGTCAGACCTATAACCAGCCAAAGTCACAGGCGAGGGGCTTGAGGGGAGACTACACACGAAAAGCAGCCACCGGTTCCCTGCATCGTGCAGAAGCGGGTCCCGAAGGCACAGCCGAGAGGGGCAACATGCAAAGCCAGGGAACATGCCGCCGCCGCCTGCCTCGCCCTCCAGCCGTCAGACCTACAACCAGCACAAAGTCACAGGCGAGGGGCTTGAGGGGAGACTACACACGAAAAGCAGCCACCGGTTCCCTGCATCGTGCAGAAGCGGGTCCCGAAGGCACAGCCGAGAGGGGCAACATGCAAAGCCAGGGAACGTGAACGGTGGGGAGGGAGCACTCTCCCAGGACCCACATTCACACCTGGTAAGGCCCCGGGAGACGGTGCTCACAGGGGAGGCGATTCTCAGAGAGCAGCGAGGCCCCCACGGAGCTGGAAATGCCACAGCTGCCGTGGCAGACGGCAGAGGACGCACAGAGAGCGGACACTAGATGGACGTCCCGTGCGAGGCTGGCGAGGGCGACACTGACTGTCTCCACATCTCCAGGGGGCCCTCTGCTTCCCGAGGGGCCAGGAATGGCCGGGGGGCGGGGTCTCACTCCCCACACCAGGGCTCCAGCACCTTTGAGAAGCTAAAGGGTGGTTGTCCTCTGGGGTAACAGGAGGGGGTGCTGAGGGCCCTAACACTGATGGGGACCAAGTCAGCATAATGGAGGCCAGGTGGCAGTCCCTCACTGTCAGAAGCCAAGTGGGGGCGGTGCAATGAACTGCAAGTCTGCAATGTTAGCAAGTGCAGCCGGGCCCTCCACGAGCTATAGAGGGCGTCAGGGGGATAGGCCCCCACCGAGGCCTGAGGTACGGGGACACACAGCAAGGGCATTTCCCAGGCTGTACCTTTAAAACAGACCAGGAGACTCATATCAACGAAAGGATGCATTCACTGCACTGACAGACTGTGATGAACATAACATAAGGATGCTTGAAAGGATGCTTAGTGAATAATAAGCGCTTGATAAATGTCACCTGTTAGTATAATGTTATTACTGTTCCAAAGCGTATGCTTTTCCATGGGTTATATCCCATGCTGTTGTGTGTTTTCACTGTTTTCTTAATTTCTGTGTTAAAATAAATTGGCAGCAAATGTAATGTAAGATGTGACATTCAGAGAAGCTAGGTGAAGGCTACATGGGAACTCTATCCTATCTTTGCAACTTTCCTATAAACCTAAATTTATTCCAAAAGAAAAAGGAAAACATTTAAAAGTAGGCAACCAGCATTGCTATTCTCATTTTAAATGCATATTCAGTAAAGCATCACAGAGTGGAGCACACACACTTACCGGAGCACCCTGCGGCCCAAGCCTGCCTCTCTCTCCCGGCATTCCCCTGGGACCCTGTAGATAAGCGAGAGAAAACATCCCCTGAAGCATCGAATGTAAACTCTAGGACAACTTGATTACCCTCCTCAAAACAACTGAGACTCCATACACTTGGCTACCAAGCAACAGTATTTCTTGGGGTTTGAAAAACTCTACCTGTGGGGTTTGAAAAACTCTACCTACCACCTCTTACCTAAATAGACTTCACTTAATCTAGTTTTAATGGGCTGCATCTCAAATCTGATTTGACACTGAGTACAGAAAAAAATAATACTAAGGGCACTCACAGTTAAGGAAAACACTGAAATGTAAGAAGACTTTCCTACTTGAAGGATGCGATTGTCAGAGTGTGCTTGCCTGTCAGATGATAAGCAAGGTGACTTCACTAGCAAACGTTATCATGTCTTTCTGTTTGTTTCATTCAAACATTCTCTTACTAAAATCTAAAAAGCAAGTAAATAACAAAGAATTAAACGGATACTCACCATAGGACCCATGGCACCCATTGGGCCAGTAGGACCCGCTTCACCCTACAGCAGAAATGACATCACGTGACAATATGAGGAACCTCCGTCGACAGTCACATCATTTTGCTCCACATGCGTATCATTCTAAACACGTATTTTCAAAATGGGCGTTTGAAGGGCATTCGAAGGACCTCAAAAGTCTATTGAATTACGTTTTCTCAAAATGCAATAAAATTTCCATTCCTACAGAAATAAGTCTAAAGTAAAATTGGGACTATCATCCATAGTCACATTAATTAGCATCAAAACTACCTGTGTCTAATAATACTTTAGGCGATGTAAAACTTCACAAAGTAGACACTGACGGTAGCATTTCTTTAAGTTCTGGAATAGGAAGCTTAGAAATAACAAATTTGAAGCCAAAGGTCTTTGCACATGCGACTCTCAGGGGACTTCCCCCTGAAGAGTCCTCTGCAGTCCTGCTGCTCTCTCTCCCTCTGGAAACACAAGTAAACGTGGAGAAGAACAAGGGCCCGAAGGCCCAGAATTAAAGGATGCTAAATGGCGGGGATAACGGACCACCTGAACCTCTGTGAGGCTCAGAGAAGAAGAGCGAGTGTGTTAGAAGGTGGATGATGGTGCCACATGTCATATGGACACAGTCTCCTTCCTACACCGGGAGGGACCCAGAGCCACAGGGGCTGTGCTTGGTGGCAAAGCCAGGGCTCAGCATGTGTCCCGGTAAATCTGCCGCCGCACGTCTGTGAAAAGGTACGTTTATCTACTTAACTGCTCACTGTCTATACTCCTCTTCCCCCAGAATGACTTAGGGGTTCTGGGAGGCGTTTGGCACTTGACACACAACCAAAATGCTATCGCGAGGTCACACTGAGGCATCAACAATCACCTTGGAACCGGTTGCTCCAACTTCACCTTTAGGGCCTTCAAGACCTTTATGTCCCTAAAAAGAAAAATACAAATTTGTATTTTACTGTGTTTTTTTCTTTTCAGATGCATAAAAGCAGCAAACATAAGCTTACAGAAAGTGCCTGATGAAAATGGATCTCAAATTTAAAGTTGTTACTCAAAATGTTTCCAAATTCTCAACATTTTTAAAAAGTCTCTCCAAATAATATTAGTTTCCCCCTTTAAATAATGTTTCCAACAAGCAATGTTCTAACCTTTCAAATTTTTTTACTTCATAGAAATTTAATCTATAGCTATAGATAAAGAACTTACAAGAAAATAAATAGTTATAGAGTTTAAATAGTTATCAAATATGGGTTATATCCAGGGATAATATTCAAATTATCTAATAACTAGTGATTAGCAAGTATTCTAATCAGAAATTCAACCACTCAAAACAGAGGCCTGTCAGTGTATACCGAGTAAATACCAGCCAAGCTTTCAGATAGATAGATAGATAGATAGATAGATAGATAGATAGATAGATAGATAGATAATTTCTATACAAGATGGGGCAAAAGTAGGTTTAAGTTATCTGTATGGAAACGAATGCAATAATTGATAAATAAGAATGCAGGAAGTAACTGTGTTTCACGTCCTCAGACTGTAAGCCTCCTTTTGCCCCACCGTGTATATGTACATGGTATAACGGTTGCGCGTTATCTGGAGTTATAAAGAGAGGAGCACCCCACAGCCTCCACGTCTGGGCTGACGGGCCTAGATTAGCGCCCTCGCTCGGGTCTGCACTTATTCCTCTGTGTGGCAGTTGCCTATTTTCCTAACTGAAGCCCTTCTGAGCCTGAAGCTGAAAGCCATGGAGGCTCCCGTTCATCACCGTCTTCTCTTGCAGCACAGTGTTCAGTGCGAGGTGAGACTCACAGTGTGTCTACAGGCTCAAATGAAATGCAGAAGAACCGTAAGAGCCGGTCACTTTAGGGACCTCGGAGGTTGCAAAACCACAGCCATGCGGACAACTGAGACGCGGGCTTGTCCAGATTTAAGGCAATGCCCCCAGGCCCTGCCCAGCCGCCCCAGCCTCTGCAAGGGTTGACTTACGCGGTGCCCCTTCAGGCCCGGCAGCCCAGGCGCCCCGGGAAATCCTCTGGCTCCCTGTGGGGGACACAAGGCATTTCAGAGTCACTAATAAGAATACGAAATTGCTTAATACACATTTTCCCTAAAAAAATACCTGGTACCTAGTTTTTCACCAACAAACCAGAAAAGAAAAAGGAGCAGTATACATTTACCTATCAAAATACATGGAGGTGATCAAAGATTAAAACTGTCTGAAATGGAAGCATGACTTACAGCGACATCGGTTCATGCCAGGTACTGACTTGATGACATTTTCAAGATTTCAAATTACATCACTGTGTTATTAATAAAACAAACAACAAAACAGCCTCAGTCACATATCTAGTGTCTGACCCAACTAGGTCAGCGACAGGAAGGAAATCGGGGGGAAAACTGTGATTTTCTTCCTTTACATGCGCTTTGTTTGGGGTGAAAGAAAAAATGCATTTGTAGCAAACAGATGTGTTTTATTTTCCCTACCTTTTAAATATCGAGAGTGGGATATAAGAAAGATTATATTAAAATGAATAAACAAAATATTTTAAAGTAACATGATAGAAAGAAGCTGGTGGGTTGGTAATGGTTTAAAAAACTAATCAAGGAAATAAAATATCCAACAGAAAGGAAAGTCAACAAATACAGAAAGAATGAGCTGGCTCAGGAATTTCTTAATTTCTGTTATTTTCAGGCATCCTTTACCCAAGCATATCACATTTTTTTAAAAAAAGGAAATCATACAAAAAATGAAATGCAAATGGTAAGACTTTTGAAATGATGCTTGAAGCTGTTCGCTCAGATGCTCTTAAAGCAGAGAAGGACCAGGACTGACTCGCTCACTCTCATTGCCCGTGTTAATTGGACTCTGACTTGAAGCCATGAGCACTGCCAGCAGCCGACGGAGCACTCGATAGCATGGACTGATGTTATCAATGACCAATTATTAGTATGGATCTGCATATCCCTGGCACTAAGCCTTATGCCTGCCCGTGGGCATCCAATGACTAATCATTGACTAAACAACGGAGGGAAGAAATGGTTTAATATTTCTTTTAACACTCGAAGCACTTTCCCAAGCCTTTAAGGAACTTCTCTGACGCCAGCACAATCTTACACAGAGAGCAGCATCCGTCTGCTTGCGTTATCGCCTTCACTTACTGTTAAGTAAATCAATGCATAAGTAACTCAATAAATGAACTTTATATGATGAAAGCAAAGCAGTCATTCCTCTGGGACCGCTGCCGGACGCTTCTGTAGCGGGGGTTGGGGGGGGGGTTGCTATCACAGTAAGGACACATCAGACCATTGCTCTCTGAACAAATACAAGTTCCATTCATTCCTCTGTGACACAGCCCTGCTCAGGAATCCCTTCTTTTAAGAACTCCCTGGAAGTGTTTCCACTGGAATTCGCCCCTTACTGAGGTTCCCCCCTCCCTCCTGAGCAGGAAACTCAGTCCATATCCCTCCGAGACCCCAGGGAGATTCCTAGCTCCGCTGTTTCAAATCGGCCCTGAGCTTCGGGGATTTGGTCCGTTGCAAGGGCATTCCCGGGTGACTGCATCTCTACTGGACAAGGAACTGAGCCAGATGTGCGAGCTCGTGAGTTTCCTCATCCTGCTGACCGAGGCTGTCATCACACCCACTCGCAGGTCCTTGCCGAGCGCATCTGGGCCCTGCTGGCTGGGCCCTTCCCCCGGGCAGGGTCCCGCACGGGGGCCGTGGGAGAGGGCGCAGGGCAGTGCGCACCAGGACAGGCTGACACGCTACGCACATCTGTGCTCATGACTAAACCCTGCCTGTGTCCGCGCTGACTTTCCAGGATGCAGGGGGAGGAGGGGAGAGCAGGCAGCTGGGAACCGGGTTTATATTGAAACTAAAGAGCCCTTAGAGCTCTGTAAATTCCCTTGAAAAAACAGCATTCATTGTTTTTAAAAAAAATCCTAGTATTGAACCTCATCCATTTTCAGAAAGTCAATTGGCAGGGACTCAGCATTGTTGGATGTGCTGAGCAGTAGGAACATTTGGAAATGATACAAAATCTACTAAGTGGGAGGCCACGTCAGCTTAGGGACGTTGCACAAGGAGCAGTCTAAGGGCAGGGAGGCTGGAGGACTCGCTGGCTTATCACCCCTAATTGTCCCTACTGCCCGCGTAGCACCTCGAGGGGAGGGGGAGGGCCTATGGGAACAACGTGCGTGCGGACAGCAAGGCGGGTCAGTGCGCCACGCGGGGCAGATCCTCCATCCTGGCGGGGCGGCCAGGCCCTGGGCCGGAGGGAGCCCGGGCAGAGGAGGGCAGCTGTGCTGGGAGAGCTGCGACCAGTGCAGCTTCTCATAAGGTCTCAGGGCCCAGAGGCCGGTCCAGAATTTCAGCCAACGTTAGGGTGTGCGGAGCAGCCAACAGGCCGCCTGTCCACCAGGCGTGTCCCTGGCGCAGGAAGAACGTCAGGGAGTTCTCTCTCCAGCTGTGGGTTCCAACATGGGAACAACCCAGAACGAAAATGTCAGGGAGATGAACGAGGACCCACGGGGTGGAGACGCTGTGATATGTGCCTTATGAGACCGTCCTTGCCGGCGTTCGGCCCCCATCAGCCTGGCGGATGCCCGCTCCGCGGGGACCCGGGGCGCGTGGGCAGTGAGAGGCGAGCTCACGTGCGTGCTCTGCGTCGCTAAGAACAGACTTACCGGAGACCCCGAGAAGCCCACCTCACCAGGACTCCCATTTCTCCCGGGTTCGCCCTTTAGGGAAAGCAGAGAAGCAAAGCGGGTTAGAATGTTCTCCTGGGAGACGAGGCGACAAAGCGACTGCAGGTAAAACGTCTCCTCAGAAAGTCTGTGCCCAACGCCCCACATGCACCCCCGAGCGCGACGTCCGACGGGATCCACTCTAGACGTCAGCTGTGACGTTCCACCAATTTATCCAGAAGCAGCAATGACACCGGAGATGCTGGGCCGCCTTAGCCCGCATGTCATCAACATCAAAGTTCACCACATGCGCAGACATGCATGCGGCACTGACTTCAACGGTGTTTCTTAAAACACTTCTTGCCATTTCTTTTCTTGTTATAAAAAATATTAAGAATGGCCAGAGATGTGTTCCTTATGGCCAAATTCAGTGTAATCTGTGTAACCAAGTCACATGACACATAACGGGAAAATATTTACTTAGTTTAGTGTCCCTTGGCCTATCCATAGTTTTATCCTCAACTTTGGTACAAAGAATCCAGAAAAGCAGAGCTGTCATTGCATCCTGCTCTTTGATCAGTTTTTAATGTTAAAATCTGAAGTTGAGCCTTAACTTTAATTAAAGATCCAACTGAAGAAATAATTTTTTCAGCATCAGAGAGCAATGCTGACCCTGCCCTCCTAATGCGTACAAAATCCACTCAATGATGACCTAATAATGATGGCTTCGCCATCAGCGCATAACCTGTCCCTGCAGATCACTGCAGAGTCCCATGGGAAACCCTATGGAAACCCTGGAGAATGCAGGGCAGGGGCAGCACCTCACAATACCAAAGGAAGAGCACTCTTAGGTTTTGTGAAATCCTCTTCTGAGCTCTCATTGATTGACATGAATGGAGGCTGAAGTGGGAAAATAGGCTGGGAATGGACGAGTGACATTCATGGTGACACTGCCACCCCTCAGCCCCCTCAGCCCCCCAAAGCAGACAAGGAAAGCCCACGTACATCTTCACCGGGTTTCCCAGGAGGGCCCTCTGGTCCGCGAGCACCAATCGGACCCTAAGAACAAAACACAAGGGAACAGAGAAGGCTTACCTATATTTACCTGCGCCCACCAATGATGCAAGCCAAAATATTGTTGAAGCAAATAAAAAAACAGAAAGTAGCTTTATCAATATTCTGAATGTTACGTTGTGTCCCTCAGATTATGTGCTCAGCAGGAAAAAGTTTAATTTCACAAACGCAAACATCGCAGCACTGTTGGCTGACCACGTTCAAAGTTTCCGAATTTAAATACAGTGGGGCCTTGACTTACGAGTTTAATTCGTTCCGAGACCGAGCTCGGTAAGGAGCACGTTAACTCAAATTACTCTATCAACTCAATGCCAAAAATCGGCGACAGCTGGAATCTCAAAAAACTCGTTAGTCGGGACACTCGTAAGTCAGGCCCCACTGTACTGTGCCACAGGGAACGTGGCTCACACACAGCCCTGACGCAGGCCCCGCGGGCTGTGCCTTCTGCTGCAGGAGTGACGAGCTGGTGAATGAACAGCTGGGACACCATTTATGTGGAGCTGTGTCTCACGGGGCCTGCGCGCTGGCGTGACATTTACCATCGGTCCGGGCTCCCCAGGCTCCCCAGGAGGTCCTGCAGGGCCAACACCGCCCTGAAATGAGAACAAAGTACAGAGAAGTTATCGACAAACCACAGGAGGAGTCCCGAGTCCTGCACCCCCAGAGGTGCCGTGCAGCGGCTCCAACCGCTGGGGCACCACTCCAGCCACGGGACTGGGTGAGTTGCTTACTCGGCCCACAACTCCAAGAGGTTTCTAATCTGTGACATAGAATAATATGGCACCCACTTCATTAGGCTTTTGTATCTCTTTAGGTCATTAATGCACAGTGAGAACCTAGACTAGTGCTGGCACAGTGTTCATCAATGGTAGTTATCTCCTTCCTCCTTCTCCTCCTCCTCTTCCTCTTCCTCCTCCTCCTCCTTCTCCTCTTTTTCTTCTCCTCTTCATCCTCCTCCTCCTCTTCCTCTTCCTCCTCCTCCTCCTCCTCTTTTTCTTCTCCTCTTCATCCTCCTTCTCCTCCTCCTTCTTCTCCTTCTCCTTTTCCTCCTCCTCCTTCTCCTCCGCCTCCTTCTCCCTTCCTCCTCCTCCTCCTCTTTTTCTTCTTCTCCTCCTCCTCCTCCTCCCTTCTCCTCCTTCCTCCTTCTCCTTATCCTTCCTCTTCTTCAATGACAACTATGTTTTCTATTCACCAATGGTAGTGACATAAAATAGCTTAAAGTGAAACTCCATACCCATGATAATGACAGTATGGTATCATTGACTGAGACAAGAATTCTTTTTTCTTTCTTTCTTTGGAAAAATTATGTTCTACTGCCTGACAACTCACTACAAAAACTAAAACAGCGCCACACCGTTATCTAGCTGGTGTGTGACAGGCTGCAGAGAAGCGGGCAGTGGTGTATTCTGTTAAAGCTTCCACGCGTGGTCTCCGTGGCTGCTGTTTCTAACAATACCCTAGGCCTTCCCTCTGTGGTCTGATTCCACAGCCTCAGGGCTGGCACACAACCAACTATGAGCATCTTCATCCGGACGGGTTATTTCAGAAGCAAGGGCACAGAAAATGCTTTGTACAGGAAGGCAGCCACATAAAGGAGCCAGACAATAAGACTTTAGCCCCATCCACAACTTTGCAAATCATGCTGCATGTTTCTAAGGAAGGAAGTAAAGATTAACTGAATTCAACCCAGTCAGTGTCAAGGCCAGCCGAAGCAGCCATGCCACAGAGGCCTCATTTCGATGTGTTTCTCTCCGTGCGACAGGATGGAATTTAATTACAAAAAGACTTACTTGCTGCCCTTGTAAACCTTGAGGTCCCCTGGGGCCAACAGGACCCTAAAAGCAAGTGAGAAGAAAAGTTACACACTCTTCCTGACAATTAGGTCAAACATTTAAAAAATGCGGCGTTGGCTTTAGAGTCTGGAGAAGAGAGGCGTGGGCAGCGGGGATGAAGGCTCCCAGCTGTGTCCTCTGGAATGCGGCTACGTCCAGGGAGACGGGAGCGGGTGCCCCGGGGGGGGGGGGGGTGTCATACGCTCTGTGGGTTCTCAAAGAGAAGGGCAGGACACGCCTGTGCCCCCGGGGGCCTGTCACAGGGAACATCTGAGACGGGAGGTCCTGCAGGCCCAGAGCCTTGTCCCGTGCCTGGCGCTGCAACCTGCAGCCGGTGATGCATCACCTGAAGGCGCCAGTCGGACTGAGGCTCATGAAACGCCAACAATAATGACCAGGTTATTTCAAAGGTGAACTTAGAACTATCGGGGGGAGGGGCCGAGTTTTCTGGATGATTTCCCTTTTTCTTAACGTCCACGTCGAGTTCCCTCACAGGCTCTCACTGTTCATTTAAACATGAGGTGAGTCACGGAGTCATAACCACGGGAAGGAAAGGGAAACGCAATTTTAAAAAATTGGTTAATAAACGCCTATACAACGTCTTAAATGTCACATTTTTAAAAGTAAAATCAATGAAATCAAAATCAAGCTTGTTCTTGTGGTAAAAACTTATTTTTTTTTGTTTTGAATTGATCGGATTATTAGCTAGTAAGAAAATGAAAAGTTCCATTACAAAAATAAATGCATATGTTATTTAAACTTCAAATGGATTAAAGCTCATATATTTCAGAAAATTATCCCAAGATAATCACTGAATGAGACCATTCTGCTGGTGACTTAAAAAATATACACACTGTTTCAGTGACTCCTAATGCTGGCCGTCCAGGTGGGTGGGTGGAAGGCGGCCATCTTGTCGTCTGCTTTACCCTTATTGCCTGAAATTCCACTAATCTGGGATGCTTTCGAATTAGGTTCTGAGCAAAAAAGCATGAAGAGCTGGTTTCAAAAGCCCCCACTCCCTCGGTGGGACGGCCTGGCTCCCGCGCCCGGTGAAAGGGCTCCTGGAGGAAGGGGAGCTGTCTGCTGCTGGAGAAATCCCAGGGACGGGCGGTCACAGGTCCCTGCAGGACGCTCCCCGGGGCTGGGAGAGGCAGGTGCAGAGCATTAAGGGAAAGAGGAAATGAGAGAATAGAACCGGCAAACAGGTTTCAAAGTTCTGCCAAATCACTATTTCTAACAACACAACCCTCTCACAATTGTTTCACTTGTTTAGAAAGCACGCTTTTTAAATGGTATCGGTGGCTTCGTTTTAAAATTCCTTATTTTCTTTAAATAATAAGTAAACTATATAGACAGTCCTTTATTAATTTATTAATGTCAATACTTGGCCTGGCTGTGGATGGGCCACCAGCTTTTAACTGGAGCGTCGCTGGGTTTGCTAACAGCCTGAGGGTCATGGGTGGACCTGTTGAGGAGACGCCATTGCTCTTCACGAGCTAACGCGGGCCGGCCTCCTTTTCAAGGTCCTGTCATTAGCAGGGACTTGGGCACTCACCACTGAGCCCGGCATCAGCCCCATCTGACTGCCGAGTCCGGCTTTGTCGTCCAGCCCGGCCATCTGCGCTGAAAACGGCTGCAAAGCAACGTGTGGACAGTACACGGTCAGAGGCAGGTCTCTCACCCACTACACAGAGGAATGTGCGCACACGCCCTGGCCTCCCCACGCCCACTAAGGATCGTTGCAAACTTTTGCTTTAAGCGAGAAAAGGATCAAGTTGTTTTTCACTGTGTGCGTTTTGATTGAACAGCCTCCCACCAAATCTCCATGACAGCGGTTCTCAACCTGTGGGTCGCGACCCCTTTGGCGGTCGAACGACCCTTTCACAGGGGTCGCCTGAGACCATCCTGCATATCAAGATATTTACATGACGATTCATAACAGTAGCAACATTACAGTTATGAAGTAGCAATGAAAATAATTTTATGGTTGGGGGTCACCACAACATGAGGAGCTGTATTTAAAGGGCCAGAAGGTTGAGAACCACTGCTCTATGACGATGTTGTTTCAGAATGATGACTGCAATGAGCCAAATGTCTGAAACTCGATAAGGTCACGGATCGTGCTGTTAAGTACGGAGCCGGTCTAATCCATTTCAGTCGTAAATCTCTTTATCGGGTTGCTTCCCAGGGTCCAGCATGCCAACGTCTGCACGGAGCCTACAAGGAGCTTTTAAAAACTCTGGATTCCATGTCGGACGATGCGACTCAGCTGGGATTCTTCCTTCCTGCTTGTGGCTGGCAAGTTTTAAACTGTATTTATTGTAAGTTAATAAAACTTTTATAAACCTTTTAGTGGAATTCCTGAATGTTCCAAGAACTGGCAACAGTTTGACCTGCTCTCTCTCATATCTAAACACTCTGCTAACCCAACTGACCAAAATCGTCCACATACATTTCCGATGTCCCATTAATCTCCAGGTTTTAGTGCGAAAAGAATGTGTGAATTGTTCAAAAACATAGACTGGCAATTCCTTCTACAATCAGAACAATGGGATGAACTGCTGTCAAACAGAAATCCTATTCCAGGGGCCCCTGTGTTCCCGTAGTACGCCGTGCAACCCACTCAAACATCCCAGTCTGCCGCTAGGAATTCCAACAGAAAACGAAGGCTCGGAAACGGTCAGGCACATGTGTAGTGTCGCTGGGTGGCCCTTTCCCATGCACACCGGAGCCGCGTCGTCCTCCCTGGTGGGGAGTCACATGGACCTCGTCGCCCCCTGAGCCTCTCTCCTTCAGGGGGGCCCATGCTCAGGGTCCTTAGAATCAGCAGAAACAAAGTTCACAGGCCCAGGGCTGGCCTGGAGAACGGCCTCTGAAGCAGCACTTAAAAAAAAAAAAAAAAGCTGCTTTGCATTTCCCAACAATTCCCTGTGGATTTCTTAGTTTTATCCTTGTTCATAGCAGCACTGCATTCCCTTGGGGGCTCTTACAGTCAAGGGTCAACAGCTGAACCAACACGATTTTAAATCACAGCAATAAATAAAAAACTTATTATATGACAGAAACATGAACGATGCTTCCAACTCACCCTGCTTATGCCGTCGGGTCCCGGGTGGGAGGGGTGTCCGGGAGGCCCCGGGGGCCCTGGCTGGCCAGGAACACCTGGCTCCCCATCAATTCCCTGCGGACCACGGGGACCCTGGGAAAAGAAGCCGTGGAAATTAGATCCCACTGCAAACGCCAAGCCCACAGACTTCTTGATGGAGACGGTGCTATTGCTTTAAAATGAACAGCCACATCCATGAGTCCAACCATGACATTCTGGAAAAGGCGAGATTATGGGGACAGTGCAAAGGTCAGAGGTTGCCAGGGGTGGGGGTGGGGTGAATAGGGGAGCACAGAAGAGTTTTACGGCAGTGAAAACACTGTGTATCTTACAATGGTGGCTATGCGTCATTATGCACTTGTGCCTTAACTCAGTGTACAATATTGACAGGAAACCCTTATTCCCTATGGATTCCCATGGGGATGCTGATCATGGGGAAGGCTCTGCATGTGTGGGGGCGGGTGTATATACGAACTCTCTGGACCTTCCTCCCAATTTTTATGTTAAAAACATAAAAAGAATAGCACTCCAGCCACCTACAGTTATTCAGCCCGGTCACAGCCTCTACTATTGGGGCAGGGTGCATTCTGGGTAAGAATTTTACTCTTGATGTGTTAAATCCCCAGGAACCAGCCTTCCTGGAGTAATGATAACACTGTATCCAGTGTGTTAGTATAACATTGTATCCAGTGTGTTAGAATAACATTTTATCTAGTGTTAGTATAACACTACATCCAGTGTGTCAGTATAACATTGCATCCAGTGTGTTATTGGGGCAGGGTGCATTCTGGGTAAGAATTTTACTCTTGATGTGTTAAATCCCCAGGAACCAGCCTTCCTGGAGTAATGATAACACTGTATCCAGTGTGTTAGTATAACATTGTATCCAGTGTGTTAGAATAACATTTTATCTAGTGTTAGTATAACACTACATCCAGTGTGTCAGTATAACATTGCATCCAGTGTGTTAGAATGACATTGTATCCAGTGTGTTAGAATAACATTGTATCCA